CCTTACTTGTGTAAGACAACTCTGTCTGTTACTTTACAGGAGCTGCGTGCCGCTAAAACCCCCACCAGAGAGTTCACCTGGGCCACCCGTATTTGGCTACCCCGTAACTGGTAAATCTATATCTATACTAATATAATAAAGAAGAAAGATTCGTATTTTGTATGTATTCATATAACTCAAAAACTACTGGGCTGATTTTAAAAATTCTTTTACCGTTGGAAAAGCAATTTATCTGCGAGTAACATAAGCTATATTTTTAATATCACGCGAACAGAGTCGCAAGCAATAGCTAGTTTTATAATATATTGTCTTTAGAATAAATCCGTTTATTTATTTTCTTTTTTTATGACAATATATACCCATTCTATTCTAAATGTTTATGTCTCAAATTGTCATCGTTTACCATTAACCAACAAATATAACCTGTTATTTTTTATAATAATTGCTGTATAGTAAATTGTATAAATTAAAGCAAAATTTGAAATTAACTCACGACACTACGTTGGTGGTTTTTGGAGACGCGATGACAGATGACAGATTAAAAATTCGATAAATTGACGACAAGAAGTTGTGTAAATGTTACCACTAGATGGAGTTATAGGCAAACAATTGCAATGTACAAAGGTCCGTGGTGCGTCACTTCCGAGGGCGCAGCGAGCGCATCCCGACGGTGCTGAGCTCGCGCGCCACCTCCATAGTGACGCCGCGCTCCGACCCCAGCCAGCCCGTGTTCCTGGTGCACCGCGAGCGCCTGCGCCGCACCGCCACGCGCTACCCCGCCTGGCGCCTGCTCAACCTCGCCCACAGGTAGCTACATTCATAAATACATTGAATTTTAATTGCCACAAAAGAAATGCATAAGACATCAAATACACAAAACCTTAGACCTAGTAAAAAAATGTGGCAAAAGGTGGCATGCTCAGCTAATGCAGATTTATTGCCGCAAAAAACTACACAAGACATCTAATACACGTAACTTTAGATCTAGTAAAAAATGTGGAAAACTCAGCTAAGGCAGGGACGCAAGTCGTTACTGACCTGCTAGGTGATAATTTTAAAATATACTTTTAAAGAAAAAAAATAACATAGATTCATACTTAAATTTTAATTAGGTGTGTTATACCAAACTGCTTCATAGTAGTTAATAAGTAAGGTAATACAAAGTAATTGTAACTTTTGGTCTTATTTATTTACAGTTTTAATTTATGACTCTAAAAGGAATCTTTTACACTTATTTTTAAAAGTAACATAAACGTTGGACACGTTAGCCCCGCCCACTTGCATCTACACGCCCTCTGTGTTTGCAGGACGTGGTGCTGGGGATGGAACATGATGTTCCTCCTAGGAGTACTGGTGCCCTGGTATTCACCGGTGTC